AATTTCATAATTTATAAGTACCTACTATGTCAAACACAAGGTACATTAATCATTCTCAAGCCTGTCTTTAGTCAAAATCTTCCTAAATAACAAAATATTCTTATCCCAACCCCATTTTTCCAATAATCTAGACATTTTCCACTAACATCTTCTATAACCCTTAAATTTTACACACCCATCCAAAATGAATGCATCACAACCAATTCCTCTCTTTGTTCTTATTTAATGGCTCAATAACAGTGTCCCAACCCTCACTATAATTTTGAGTGGATGACTCTCTTATTCATTTCATATGAGGCCCCTCCTTTCTATTCTCAGGCCATTAACATGGATAAGTCATTCATTTCATTTCACCCGGATAGCACAACAACTTTCTTTACTGTCTCCACAACTCCCTTCTCCCAGCATACTTACACATATCCAGACACATTATATAATAAGACTAATTTCATAAAATACAACACTAATCACACTGGCACCCTGCTGAAAAAAATTCAATGGCTACATCAATTCTACACAAAAAAATAAGAACCACTCACTGTTGGTATTCCTCATGTGAAAATCCAATTGATCAAAAACTTTCAGATGCAGAAAAGATTATTATTACTGCATATGTTAATACCACAAAATAACTTTTTAATTCGATATGCATGATCTGATACTACACAAATCACAAAATATCAAGAATGTAACCCTAGCCAGCTGTGGTGGCTCACACCTGTAATCCTAGCACTCTGGGAGGCTGAGGTGGGAGGATCACTTGAGCTCAGGAGTTCAAGACCAAGCTTGGGCAAGAGCGAGATGCCATCTCTACCAAAAATTAGAAAAACTTAGCTGTGGTGGCACATGCCTGTACTCAGAAGGCTGAGGCAGGAGGATTGCTTAGGCCCAGGAGTTTGAGGGTGCAATAAGCTATGATCATGCCATTGTACTCCACCTGGGGCTACAGAGTGACACTCTGTCTCAAAAAAAAAAAAATGCAACCTTAACATTCTCTACTGCTTTCATTATTGGTCTCCCAACCATCGGTGAGTACACAGCATCTCATGTTGTTCATTAAACATAGATGTTCATTAAACATTGTCAGCAACAATGATGCTCCCCATGGGGGTAACATGAATTATAATATTTCCTAATAAGAGTGTGTATCTCCATTCCACTTCCACCCATGATAGAATAACAAAGACAGGACTTAACCTCCCACTGTAAATACCAGAAACTGGGCAAAAACACAAAATAACTTTTCCAGGCACTGGACAACAGGCAGCACATGACTATACTACCTGAGAGAATGAAAATAAAGGAAGTAAGCCCTATAATCACTCCAGTTTCTGACCAAATGCAATTTCCAGACCACCAGAACAGGTAAGAAACCCAAACAGAGCCAGAAAACTGAGTATATAAAGATCAAAACTCAGGAAGGCTAAAAGGGCTGGAAGTTGTGGAGCAAAGATTCAAAAGCAAGCATAAAAAGAGCTCTAAAAATCCAAAGGAGTCAGTGTATTCACAGAGTGGAATTCCACTCAGCTGGGCAAACAAACTAAGCGGGACATATAAACTGAACAATTCTCAGACTTGAAACAAAAGAGAGAAATTCAAGCTGCAGCCAAAGGGAGTTCTTAGTAGTCTTTCAGGAAATGGCAGAAAGATTACTATGTAGCAGCAAGGCTAAAGTGTTCCTGGAAAGAAGGCTACTCTAGATGCCCCCAGCTAAGGTTAAAACAGGACTCACATAGATCAATTGGTCCTTAGTAACAGAGAAATGTCCATGGTAGGCAAAACTGGAAGATGGTGCCTATGTTCCCTGGTCCCTCGTGCAGACTCCTGTATAATCCTCTCCCCTTGTGTGGGTGGAACCTGTGACTTGCTTCTATATCAAACAATATTGAAAGGCGGAAAAAAAAAATTACAGATGTAATCAGAGTACTAAATCAATTAATTTTGAAGTAGCCAATAGGAATTATCTTGGGTGAACCTCATATAATCAGGTGAAAGCCCTTAGAGAGGGGCTGGGCCTTCCTGAGTTCAGAGAGTCTCCTTGCTGGCATAAAGTGACAGCCCATGGTGAGGAGGCCCACATGGCAAGGAACAGCAGACGCCTCTAGGCACTGTGGGCAGCCTCCAGTGAGCATCCAGTAAGAAGCCAGGGCCCTCAGCCATATAACCACAAGGAATGAATTGCAACAACCTGAATGAGCCTGGAAGCAGATTCTTCCCCACTCAAGCCTACAGATGAAAAACACAACCTGGCTGACCTTGATTTGTAGCTTATTGAAATGCTAAACAGAGGATCTGCTCAGTAAGCCATGCTGAGACTCCTGACTCACAGAAGTTTCTGCCTGAATGCAGTTTCCAAATGCTATAGAGAAAGACTGGGGTGAAAATATAGAAGATCTGAAAAGACCTTCTGTGACACATAGGCGCAAAATACTCTGCAGACCCTCTTATACAAAGCAAAAGACACAATCTACTGGTTATGGGGCAGAAAACCAACTTGAGCCTAACATAATAGCAAAGTCTTGTTACTGTTAGAAGAAGGACAGAAGAATTTGCTGCAAAGCCCTCTACAGACATAAAGGAGAGTTTGGCAACCACTCTTGGGAAGGGGAGAAACACTGAGAAAGACCCATTCCTGAGACCCAGATGGACAGAACCAGCTCTACACCAAGTAACAAGGAACAGCAATACTAACTGGGGTAGGGGTGTCAAGGGAGTAGTGTAGAGACAGAATGCCTCTCCTGTCAAGAGTATGTAGGTCTTGCTGAAAACTAGGAAGGCCAGGTGTGGTGGTTCACACCTGTAACCCTAGCACTTTGGGAGACCAAGGCAGGAGGATCACTTGAAGCCAGCCTGGGCAACACAGTAAGATCCCACCTCTACAAAGAAAAAAAAAAAAAAAGCAAGCTGGAAAAAGTGCAGGAACACTGAGAAAATCCCTCTGGCCACTCCAGGTCCCACATTAAGGATAAGACAGAAAATTCAACACTTCCCTCTACACAAACGATAGAAGCAGATAAAAATCATTAGGATATACAAGACATGAACACAGTATCAACCAACTCAAATGACATTTATAAATCACTAAACTCAACAATAGCACTATGTACATTCTTTCAAGTACATACTAACCACCAATATGGACTATTCTCAGCCATTAAAAAAAATTATTAAGGAAATTCCACAAACTTGAAATAACTAAAATTATACAAATTATATTCTTGGACCGTAAGAGACTTAAACAAGCAGTCAATAATAAAACAACAGAGGAGAAATTACCAAATATTTGGAAATTTAAAAACATTCTTTTAAATAACCTATGGTTCTGTTATAAACCCCATCATACATTGTTTTTCATTCTAAGCAATCATTTTATTTTTTTAACAAAGCAAAAGGCTCCAAATGACATCTTTGGGACAAAATTATGGGAGGATAAATTGCAGTTCAATTAAAATGAGAATATCACAACAATCAAAGTCACATAAAGATGTAATTTGCTGTCTCTGGAGACAGTAATTTTCCTATAGGTATGTCCAAATACAGTTTGTGGGAAAATAAGATATAACCATGAAAAAAGTCATTGCGTTAAATGACTCTAATGGTTTGTTCTAAACATTAGAGTCGGGCCGGGCGTGGTGGCTCACGCCTGTACTCCTAGCACTCTGGGAGGCAGAGGTGGGCAGACTGCTCGAGGTCAGGAGTTCGAAACCAGCCTGAGCAAGAGCAAGACCCCGTCTCTACTATAAATAGAAAGAAATTAATTGGCCAACTAATATCTATAGAAAAAATTAGCCACGCATGGTGGCACATGCCTGTAGTCCCAGCTACTTGGGAGGCTGAGGCAGTAGGATCGCTTGAGCCCAGGAGTTTGAGGTTGCTGTGAGCTAAGCTGACACCATGGCACTCACTCTAGCCTGGGAAACAAAGGGAGACTCTGTCTCAAAAAAAATAAACATTAGAGTCTATTATCTCCTCAAATATTCAACCATAATTCCTAGATTGCATTCATGATAAACTCAAGCATTAATCTTTAAAGTGTCAGGGTAGAGTAATCCTTTTATTGATAAAATTAATTATCAGTAGGCTTTCAACTCAGAAAGTCATTTCTCCTATTTTTACCACATTTAACAAAATACATCACAACAATATAGCCTTCACTACATGGTACTGATAGGTTAAATTGGTCACTGTGCTCTTACAGATATTATACTAGAATGAAATTGTAGGTGCTATACCATTTTTCTCACAATAACCATCTTAGGAAATAAAGATCTAAAAATATAATGAGATTGGATGTCTCTAAGACAAGATTTAAATTATTGACTGCTTTTAGGTTGAATGTACCTAAACTGTTATCTAATTTCTTCATATACTTTACTCAAACCAAATTTCAGTTAATTTTTTCTGTAAGTTTTCACATAAAGAACAGACCTCTTTTTTATCTAAAGGCACAAATAAGAAACATACTGTTTCTGAAATTAAACTGTGACAAGAGTAATACAGCAAATCAACAAGCATATATTTAGCAAAATCCTTGACTTCTGATAAAATAGAAAATCTGGACCATTATCATGATTTGAACAAAATACCTTCTCAGAAACTACATGAAAACAACAAAGAAAAAAAAGGTTTAATTCAGAGAAACTGAACTAAAATACAAGGCAGTTTTGTGCTAGCTGAAGAAACAAGAAAAAAGAATGAAGGAAAAGAATTACCACATAAAAAACACAATATAAGAAATAGCCATAGTACAACTAAGTGCTAATAAAATATGAAATTAAAAGTATATTACTGAAACTAATATTTCACTTATTATCTATAGAAAGCACATCACTAAATAAGTTATTTAGCTTTAAAATTATAGAGATATATAATATATATTAAATGCTTAGTGTCTAGCATAAAGCAAGTGCTCTATTAGTAAAGTAGTATTAATTAAAACACTGAGTTCTCACTAAAAAACACTCTGCCCAAGTCTAACCAATTAGAAGTTTTGTACATACCAAAGAGCATCCCCGCAAAAGGACTACAGATCTCTTGATTAGCAGATTTGGGTGGTTCATTGTCCCGAGGGCTATAAAAAAAAGAGGGAAAGAATTAAATTCTAGATAATTTTCAGAAATAAAATTTAGAGTAAATGTGGATATGAGTTATTGGCCTTTCAAAGTTCTATGGACACTATCATATTTACATATTTTTAAGTTGAGGAAAATCATGGCATTTTATCTCTTTCTAGAGTGACATCCCAATGTATTCAGGCTCTCAAAAAACCTTTTTTCAGCCAGTGCTCTATAGGTATTCAAATAGAATCCTTTTTCACAAAAATAATTACCCCAGTAAGGAAAATGAATATAAATATACATACATAAATCCTAAAAAAGAAAAGAAGTGTGAGCTCTGCACACACTTGGAAAAGATCCCTAAAAAGCTCCTCCCTTGGAAGATAGAAAAAAGATAATTCCCTCTAAGAAAATTAATGAACTAGACCCAAACAGCAAATTCTCTTATTGCAAGAATTGTTTACATGTTACTTTCTTCAAAGAAAATACACACCTCTCCTGACATATGACAGTATTATCTTCATTATATACTACAGATTCAGAATTTTTAATGTTTGTACTTATATGACACAAGAAAGCCACCAAAATGATAAAAATTATAAAAAGAGAATATTAATATAAAACATATAACATTAACATAAAACACATTAATATAAAACACATATATCCTTTCTTTTCAACATGACAGAAATACATAAGCACTAATTTTACAAAGTGAGTGTAAAAGTTATCTACTCGGTAAGCTGAAAATAAATTTTTGAAAGAATAAAATTTTGAAAGAAAAAGTCACACTGCTGGAACATTTTCAATTTACATCCAGTCAAGTTGCATCACCATGCCTCTAAGATATTTTAAATTGATTTTTAGTCCTTTAAACTACACTTATTTCTCCTTCCATTATTTCAAAAAATTTGATATACTTTGTAATGATAGGGACTTATTCAGAACACACTTTATAACCAAAAATTTGTTTTTCAAAAGAATGCTGTAAAGTACTATAAATTTTCATTTGATACTACCTCCTCACTCTGTTTTTCCTTTTAATTCATTTCTCACAAATAAGGAAGGCTGTTAATACACTGCACCTTTAACTTTTTCAGTAAGCCACTTTGAGGCAGGTGCTGTTTCACAGTGTAATCTGAAGGGGAGATTTAATGTTACATACTGTACCTTTTATTTCCAGCAGATGAAATTCGTATGTTTGACTGTTCTGTCACATCACCATCATACTCCATAGGAGGCACATTCCCTTGTCTGTTCCCGTGCATCCTTAAAAACACATTAGCTTATAGAGCATGTTCCACATACAGTGGACCTTCTTCTATCTCTTTGGTGTTTTTACATTTTTTGTTGGAAACATTACAGGGAACAATGTTATAGAGAAGTTTTACCATAAACACATTCTACAATTAATTCAAATGAGATTTGTCTCAAGTATGATCTGCTGGTTTATGAGGCACAAAGAGTTTTAATAGTCTTTTTTTAAAAAAGCTATTGTAAATTATTTCAATATAACTTTTAGAAATTTTTAATTCTAAAATTACAAATATACTAACACTTTTTTATCATTCACTTAAAAAGTGAATAATTGAGTGCCTACTATGTTCCAAGTAGTATTCTAGACATTGGGTATTCAGACATAGTCCCTGTAGCATTCATGAAGATTATAGCCAAATTCAAAAGAAGATCATTTTTTAAATCAAAATTCATAGATTCTGGGAATTATTTCATTGTATGTATAAACCTTTTAACTTAAAAATATAGCATCAGTCTTATCAATAAATTAAATGAAATGCAGGAAAACATGATATTTGCCAACACTGTAAATCACATGAAAGAATAAATGTTACCAACAGATGAATGGAAAACACAAACAGGCTGGTAGAAAATGATTAGTTCACTTTACTTACAAGGTCATAAACAACACAAAGAAATATTAGAATTTTTTTTTATTTCCTTCTTAAAAAAACCTTTTTAGAAAATGAACAATTATTAAGTAATTTTTTTTTCCATTTGGCAAACACTGATTTTTTTTTTGCTTAATTTCTCATACCAGAGACACCAACATGACTTTTTACACCAACACATATTAGCATCCATGAAAACTAGCATTCCGTAAGTCATATTTCTTTACATGGCTGCTGAGTTACCATCAAACTATATTGTGTTTCTCAAGAAGTCTATTAGAAAGAAATATGGTTGTTAAAATATTACACAATATTTTAGGTGAATTTTATTATCATATTAAGAAAAACAGTAATTTTTAGAAAAATAGTAGCTCCTTACTCTCCATAGAAACAGCATATGAAATTTTTCACTTATTTCCATCATACAAGCTATTGTCACTATCATCTGTGGAGAAAAAACTATTTGGAATTTTAATCTTAATTATGATGTGGCATAATATCTGGCTTCCATTTTTTATCCATATCTGAAACAGAGCCCTCCACAAGCCCTCTCAAAAAAGGATCTCAGTCAGGTATGATGGCTCACATCTGTAATCCCAGCACTTTGGGAAGCCAAGGCAGGAGGACTGCTTGAGGCCAGGAGTACAAAACCAGCCTAGGCAACACAGTGAGACCCTCATCTCTACAAAAGATTTTTTTTTAATTATCTGGGCCTGGTGGTATGTGCCCATAGTCCTAGCTACGTGGAAGGCTGAGGTAGAAGGATCACTTGAGCCCAGGAGTTCGATGTTGCAGTGAGCTATGATGGTGCCACTGCACTTCAATCTGAGCAACATAGTGAGACCCTGTCTCCAAAAACAAAAAAATAATTTCAAATTTATTTCCATTTATCAAAATATGACCCATTTTAATTCCTAAAGTCTAGGTGCTCAAATCTCTTTGCTAAACTGACATATCAGTTTAGCATTATTCCCTACTGTTCACTTAACAAAACAGATAAACTCAAACTCAAATTTGTAATTAACAATGCCAGGCAACCAGATTTAATTATACTGGTTCTCTATAAATATACATGTGCAGAAAAGAGTTAACACAGCAGACCTGACACTGCCTATCCTTAAAAAAGCCACATTGCACAATTGGCCCTTGTTAGTGCCTGGGAGCACACATTTTGGGAGAGTTCCCAATATTCCCAGAACTGGTAAAAGTGGCTCACTGTGCCTAAACTGTTTGTATAAACAATATAGTTTAGGCTAAAGATGTGCTTTCCTTCAAGGATTCTGGAATTTTACTACATGCTAGCATAAGGGTGCCTATATGATCAGCCCCCAGTAAAAACCTTGGGCACTGAATCTCTAATGAGTTTTCCTGGTAGACAACATTTCCCCATGTCGTCACTATTCAATGCAGGAGGAATTAAGCATCTCCTGTGAGACTCCACTGGGAGAGAACTCTTGGAAGCTGGTCCCTGGTTTCCTTCAGACTTTGTCTCATGTGCCTTTTTCTTTTGCTGATTTTGCTTTGAATCTTTTAGCTGTAATAAATGACAGCCATAAGTACAATTATACCTAGAATCCTATGGGTACTCCTAGCAATCACCAAAATCTAAGAGTTGTCTTGGCAACCTAAGACATAATACACAAAAGTAAATTAATTGATGTGGTAAAGAGATGTCTATACCAATGAAAAATTTTAAATATACAGAAATTCAAAGTTATCCATTTTTGAAAGCTTAACATGGGATCCCAAAATTAAAGGCCACTTAGACATACAGAATTTTTTCTAAAATTTACCCAAGGGTTTATGGCTTCCTGCATTTTCAGTGAAGTTATCTGAAGACAATGTTTGGATTTACAATTGTAGCTTATACACCTGGGCCCAAAATATCTATGCTAAAAAATGTTTTATACGCTCTTCAAAATATATAGATAACTTAATAAAGCAATCACCATAAGGACAAGAGGTCATTTTCAAAGTTCATTCCAAATTTAAAAAATAATTTTATTTATGTAAAAGGTCAAGATCTCTTTGCTAAAATAAATCTACAGTGTAAAACCATAAAGACTTCTTAGTGGACGGCCCATATTAAAGATGTTCTAAGGTGTACCTTTTACTGAAGAAATAAAAAGTCATTATCAAGATTTAGATAAATCCCCTTTTCGAAAATATTTAAAAAGTCCCCTCTGTCACTGATAATTACAACCAAATCAAGACTGAAGAACTGTTTAAGATGCCAACAAAAAAGAGCAGAGATATGTATTTCACTAAAAAGATAATAAAATCTTAAGGTATCCTATTCAATTTTATGAAATGACTGATATGTCTGTGCTTATCTTTGTTAAATCAAGGAAGAATTACTGTTTACAGAGAGAAGGGAACTTAAACTGTAAAACCAAATTATAGCCTGGAAAGTTAGCCACCTTATTCTCTATTTAAAAAAATCCCTATAATTTTGATGCCATTTCCTTCATATACTAAAATTTCTTTCATACATCTAATAAATTTAGCATTTAATCACTCTTAATTATTCCTATTAGTTCACTTTAACAGCTTTTAAGTCAGTCTTACAATTTATTTTTATAAACTTTACTTAGGCAAAGTCCTCTCTGAAGAAAGGAACTGACAAGAGTCAGCAGCGGTTTCACCACTGCTAGCTCTCTTCAATCTTCTCAACATTAAGGGGTAACTGACAGATGTAATGTCCAGAAGTAATGTCCACTAAATGTCTAAGAACAACCTGATTCTAATCAAAGTCCAGGGGTTCAGTTTGGGTCTAGTATGTCCTTGGAAATCTTTTCTGTTTAGCTGTGGCAATACCAGATTAAGACTATCCCTGTGACCCAGAAGAAATCTATCTAAATATTCCATAATCTTAAACACATAGGTTCACTTAACACACCCTCGACACATCGGTTTATGTCAGAAAGGGAGACACCCTGTAAAGGAGAGTTTGCTTCCTTTGAAATGCAAATCAGATATGATCAAGGAATGAAATAACTGCAAAATGGTTTCACCTTCATACTAACAACAAGGAAAAATGTAGGTTAAATGGAAAAGCCTTTTCTCTCTCCTTATTTCATTGAAGACATGAGTCAACAACTCTATTTGAAAAAGTAAAAATCTCAATGCCCAAAGAAACCAGGTTAGGATAGAAGCCAGGTTTACTCTAAAACTTAACACATGTTAGTCTTTAAGGGAAAAAACAAACAAAAAAATTTCCTTTACAAAAGAAAAGCAAACCGTTTAAAATTACAGGCATGTTAAGCTCATTTAAATGTGAATAAACAACTCCAAAATGATAACTAACTTTTCTCTTTTCCTTAATAGACCATAAAATCGGCCAGGCATGGTGGCTCACGCCTGTACTCCTAGCACTCTGGGAGGCAGAGGCGGGCAGATCACTTGAGGTCAGGAGTTCGAAACCAGCCTGAGCAAGAGCAAGACCCCGTCTCTACTATAAGTAGAAAGAAATTAATTGGCCAACTAATATATATAGAAAAAATGAGCCGGGCATGGTGGTGCATGCCTGTAGTCCCAGCTACTGGGGAGGCTGAAGCAGTAGGATCACTTGATTCCAGGAGTTTGAGGTTGCTGTGAGCTAGGCTGATGCCATGGCACTCACTGTAGCATGGGCAACAAAGAGAGCCTCTGTCTCAAAAAAAAAGAAAAAAAAGAAAAACAAAATAGACCATAAAATCAAACTACTTCAGAAACAACTTTATAGTGTTTACCCTATAAATTATAAAAATAAAATCTTTACCATCTGTGGGTCCTATATTGATACAGCACCAAGGAAGAATCCAATTTCTCTTTACTTAAAAAAAAAAACAACAAAAAAACCCCCGCCTTAACTCTGAGCACAAAGATGCAGAAAAGAAAAAAGAAAAAAAAAAAAAAAACCCGCCTAATTCATAATAATGGTAGTTACAACACTTTACTTTCATATTAAGAATTTCTCTCTTGTGAATTAATTCTGCTATTAGAGTACTCCCACTACAGAAGTTAAAGAAAAACTCCAAGATGTTAACTATGGGTCACCATTTTTTTCATTGTTTTCAGTTTTTTCCCAATGTTTGTATCTACTTGAATACCATTGTTTTCTATTATCAATTTCACTTTTAAGATGGCCAAAACAATTACTAAAAAGGCCCTTCCAAAGACAAATGAAAATTAACTACTAAAAAAAAAAGTAACACCAAACTAAATAACTTATGTTGTAAGAAGCCATTTTTCCTCATTTATGTCTTACATATTAAGCACATACACTCCTAAGAAAAATATCTTGTACTAAGCACTTAATCTATGTGGCTAACACAGATTCTAATTTCACCTGAAGTGTCATGTCAGAATTTTATAAATGAC